TTGCTACATATTCACTTTCTTTTAAGGTATTTTAAGGAATGTTTTGATGATTAACGACTTGGTATTTTGTGTAAATATAATGTATTGTTAAAATTGCATATACACAGCAATCTTCTCACTTTTTATATTGTATTTTACATTGTTATGGTTTTTAGTTCATTATGTTCAGATAATCCTTAATCCTAATGTCAATTTAGGCAATGGCTTGTAACGATAACGACCTTGAATTTAGTCATGTTATAATAAACATATTGAGGGGTCAGATTACTATAGTCAGAGGTTTCCCCTATTTAACTACTCAATCGATCAGCTCTGTCTATTTTAACAAGATTTCAAATCATTAAACATCACTTTGATTACCGAACTCATTAATAACCACTTATCTCATTTTCAGTCAAATAAGTGTTTAAACAGCTAAGTAATTTTTAACATTCAAAAGTTATAATTGACATAAAAAATGCATCTGAGTTCTTCAAAAAACACGTTTAAATATATCAATATGTTTTAATTTGCAGATATAGTATTAATATTCAAAGTTCTTTATTAATAAAATATAGATTTTCATAGGGAGGGTCAATATTCTATAGGGGGGTCAACGTACCATAATGGGATTCTGACCCCGGGGTCAAAAAACTATACCACACCGGCTTTAAATCCTCGATCTCAGGAATTGTTGCCAACACAGAATATATGACTCTTCACTGATTGTCTGGTGCCCAAACTTGTACTTCTGTTTTTTTTGTGAACCATGTAGTGTACTCCGATTCCTGACCTAGTCTCTGGAGAGAAATGAAATTGAGCGAAGGCACTAGGTGGCGCCAGGCTGACTAGACTCTACCTGGACGACTGAGGGATTTTACACACAGCTCTGTCTTACATTTATTAAATTACAGGTGGTTTTAATACCTAGAAACACAAAGACTCTGACTGTGATCTGACCTGGAACTTGACCTGGTTTGGTCTTCATGAAGACAGGAAGCTTTAATGCCATATTGTGAAACATTCCAGCAAGGCAAATGACATCTCCATGGAGAAAAGACTAGACAGGGAAGTTACACAATAAGCCTTTGTGTCAGTCATTATTTAGAACTCTACTTTATACATGGTTTTGTTTCGTGTTAGACCTGGTTTAAACCTAATGGATGCATGTTTGTGTTTACACTGGTTTAGTTCTGGTTTAGTCCCAGTTTAGCCCTGATTTTGATGCGGTGTGTGTGGACGTGCCCTTAGACCTGATGAAGTCCAGTCAGGCTCCGGTGTGGAAGTGGTCTGGAAAATCCATAATATGAGCTCTGATCCTCTGGTGAGCTTCGAGTCTGTTCGACATATGGAGCAACATAAGGACGTGTTAAATAGGGAATGCTTTTGTGTTTGGCATATTAGCACCATCTGAGAATAATAAACAACAGCTTTCCCCGTGTCTGGGCTGGAGCTCAAATGAACGAGAACAGTGAGCGGAGAGACGCAGGAGACACACAGAGACGAGAGCAGAGAGCGAGCGGAGGAGTTCTTGGACAGAAAACGACGCAAGAACTAAAGCTGTTTGGCCACTGATTTCAGACAGAGACCAGAGACTAGAGACCAAACCACAGACCAGACCACAGACCAGACCACAGACCAGACCACAGACCAGACCACAGACCAGACCACAGACCAGACCACAGACCAGACCACAGACCAGACCACAGACCAGACCACAGACCAGACCACAGACCAGACCACAGACCAGACCACAGACCAGACCAGAGACCAGACCAGAGACCAGAGACCAGAGACCAGAGACCAGAGACCAGACCAGACCAGACCAGACCAGAAACCAGACCCGAGACCAGAGACCAGAGACCAGAGAGACCAGACCAGACCAGACCAGACCAGACCAGACCAGAGACCAGAGACCAGACCAGACCAGAAAGACCAGACCAGACCAGAGACCAGAGACCAGACCAGACCAGAGACCAGACCAGACCAGACCAGAGACCATAGACCAGACCAGACCAGACCAGACCAGACCAGACCAGACCAGACCAGACCAGACCAGACCAGACCAGACCAGAGACCAGACCAGAGACCATAGACCATAGAGACCAGACCATAGAGATAGATAGAGTTAATAGTGAAATGTTCCAGTGGATGATGTAATGTTTGGAAAAGCAGTTCCAGTTTAGACTCTCATCCTCTGCTCTGTTCAGCCTCTTGTGTTTGTCTTTCAACTCTTTTTTTTTAACGTTTTGTCTTCACCATGACAACCATCTGACAGGCTCAAGACGCTCTACCACATTTGACAGAGATTCTGCATAAATGAACAGATGAGGAAACTCTTGAAAACACCATGAAAATCCGCAAACGTTGAAGCTGATCGGGTCTGTGTCGATTCTCTGTCAGAATAATAAACTCTCCATTTGGCTGTGTTCGCTCTGAGCCTGTGTGAGGGGCAGCGCCACCGTGACACACACTTTGTGCCAATTTAATTTCATTATGAACCAAAAGTAGAGCAAAGTTTTTTCATCATAATGGGCCTCATGAAAGAGAACGTCAGCTTCACCTGCTGCAAATACAGAGGGAGGGCGGCAAACACGAGAGAAGAAGAACATTTTGAGTTAAGAAAACACTTTGTAAATGCTTAAAATGTATGAAGACCTTAAGGACAAATTCATGCATAAGTGATTCAGCATATGTTTTTTGGTTTTATTTTGTTTTTGTCAACTTCACTGAACTTGGACTGAACTAGTGAACTGAAGTCTTGAGTTGGATTGAGTCTGTTTTATGTCCTTATTAAACAGAAAAACCTGAGGAACTTAAAACCATGGGGGAATTAGAATTTTATAAAAGCGAAAACATGATTTAACCCTTCCAGACTAGCGGACATGTTTTATGTAATTGCACATAACTTTCCAAGCATAAAAGAAAATGTTCTTTTTCCCCTTGAAAACCAGATTTCGGGCATTAATCTCTGTCACACTTACACTGTGTGATGACGTCGGGAAAACGAGTGTCCAACAGGAACTTTGTTTTCGACCAAACACATGCGCTCTGTCCATTTTGATTGGGCCAAACTCTGCCGAAGAGTGTAGTGAGTCAAAACTGTCGATGTTCTGAGCGTCTGTGTTCAGAACATTTGAAAAAGTCGCTCTAAGTTCAGATATTTCTCAAATAAATGGAAAATTACACATCTTGGTCTGTGTAATGGTGCATCCCTTGCTATTTTCATTTGAAATGTTTATTTCAGTCAAAATGTCCAAATCCAAATGTATTAAAGCTCATGGAAATGCAGGAAGTGATGTGGCTCTGTGTCCTGGACCTGACACCAGCTGTTTCCATGACCTGCACCAGTCAAGTCATGAGGCCATTGCACTTTTTTGTGTTGTTTTGTTTTGTTTTGAGGCAATAAGGAAATTTTGAGTTTACTTGCAGAATTGATATTTTGCACTTTTTGAGCTAAGGCCAAAATTAAGCTTTTTTTTTTTTTTTTTTTTTTGGTCAAAAAAAGTTGTTTGCTGTGTGTCTTGTATGAAAGAGTCTGAATTGAATTGTATTTATTTATTTATTTATTTATAGTTTTTTGTTTTTTTTGTTTTCTTTTCCTGTACCTTTTATTCCAGCCATATGACACAACTACAGAAGCAGATTGTGAAATAACAGGTTGTAGTTAAAAAAAAAAAAAAAAAAAAGTATAACACTTCATTTGGGGGATTTAAATGCACAATTAAGAAAACGTATCCAGGTGAGGATAAATGCATTAAAATTCCCCTTAGGGCTGGAAGGGTTTAAGTGCTTCTAACTGTTCATAGGATTTGTTATTCCGGAGGAACATTAGTTGGGTTAAGTAAACACTCCGAAACAAAAATGTACGAAGGTCGTACAAGTCATGAGCCGATTCAGCATTTGTTTTGTTTTGTTTTTGTTTTGTTTTTTTCAACTGCACTGAACTTGGGCTGAACTAGTGAACTAGAACTGAACTCTTGTGTTTAATTGATTCTGTTATTTGTTCTTATTAAATAGAAATACCTGAGGAAGGTCAGAGGAAACGATAAATACCAAAATATACCAAATCTTCAGCTCTCTTGCTCACTTCTCCTTTCTGATTGACCTTCTGATTGATTTCTGACACAATTAATTGGCTAATACATAGTTTGGTCAGTGAAGACTCCATCAACTGATTCATTGACCTCAAAGACTAAAGGCTGACAGCCCTACAGAAAATAGTCATATTTCTTCCTTTAAAGTCTTGCGTCTGCTCCAAACATACTTTTACTGACAGAAGGCTGTTTGTCTGTAGACCCCTGCAGTAAAAAGACCCGGGCTGATCCCCGAGTCCAGCTGAAGTCTTGGTCCCTACACTTAGGCCCCATCCACACTAGTACATATTCAAGTAGTTTTTGTTGTGGATGCAGTGTTCGTTCACATTAATCAGACAGAAAACTGCTCCAGAGACAGAACGATCTGGTGCCTCCAGCTCCCACAAATTCATTTGAGTACAGATCTGATCCAGCACTGTGTGGACGCCTGAAAACACTGATACTCTGATGTAGGTCTGTGCACCGCAAAGTAATTCACCGCTAAAACACTAAAAGGCAAGAATATATGTCCATTCATATAAACGTATGTCTGTGTGTGTGACCTGCAGACGGATAATCTCTAAAAATGTTTCACATGAACCATCTCCAACACGACAGAAACACAGAACAGACTCACCATCAGCAGAACACCCCTCTGTCACAGAAAGAAAACACATATTCCACTGAGTTGTGTCCTTTAGTCATCAGCGCACAATAATGAGCTGCTTTTTGAGACCTCAGTTTATGCAAATGAGTCATGTGGTTTTAAGTTTTGTTTCTGTAAAACATAAACAAATATACTCAAAGCTGTGTGGACGGGGAAGGATTGCGGACACAGAAATGTTGTGTCTGTCTGTTGATGGTGATTTGTTTCAGTGTAAACATAACCTCACTGTTGGAACTGTTTTTATAATCACATTTTCTCTTGTTTTGTTTCATTCTCAG